TTCTAAGTCATGAAATGGTTTGTGAATGTCAACAGCTTGACAGATTGTGGAAATGCACAATACTGAATGAATAGTGTAAACATGAGATGAATCATTGCTGTCACAGGCGATACAAGCACGGAGCGGTAGAAATTCTGCTCTTGGCCTCCACCAGCCTATAAAATCTTTATCTTTGCAACCAGTAATGTCTTTTCTAAGTAGAGTTTTCTATGTTTATGTACCTACTTATGTTCAAAATAGAAACAGCAACACTTTCCAGGGTGTTTATACTGCAAAGCAGCTATTGCCCGTCCATGGCCTCTGTAGAAGATCTCTAATTAGTCACATTCCTAATTGCATAGCATACACATTGAAACTGCATGAATTAAATCAGATGAAAGCCTACGATCGCGGCGCTAGACTGTCAAACATAGCTTAGAAAACACACAATGTCCTCACATTATCAGTTGCACAGAAACCATTCCTTCATGTCTTTATAAAAAAAATTTGATCGTTTGAGCGAGATTTCACATAAAAGGCAGCAGCGTGTGTGCTTGAGGTCATGATCTGCGAATCCTTCTCCACAGAGAAGCATGCCTCTGGAGAACAGAGCATTGCTTCTCCTTGCAATGCTGGTGGAGCTGATTTGTTGCAGGTGTTCACGGCCACACAACCTCAGACTCCATTATCCCCACTGCCATGTTTCACAGCTAGTTTGAGGTATCATTTTCTCTCCTCTGTGTCCTCTTACACACACCCCTCTGTTGCCACTAATCTCAAACTTGGATTTATGAGTATATAAGACTTTCACTGTCAAATGATAGGTTGTGCAGTCCACAACCAAGCATTAAGCTTTGTTTCGCCTCCTGTGAAGTGGTTTGGAGGTCGCTGTTGAACAGCAGTGTTTTGGTGATTCGAGTTCTTTATTTAGCAAGTTCTGTGGCTCTGATTAAGTTGCTTTTTCTGTCTCTCTGTGAGGAAGAGATTGATCTTTTGATTGTTCTGATTGATTTTGGCTGCCTGATTGCGTTTCAGATACTACTCGTGTAGCTCTTGCAAAACATTTGAAAGCTTCTTAGAAACTTTAGAATGGCCACAATGTATCAAAAGTCTCTCACTGCATAGAACAACAGATTTTTTGCCATCATATTACTGTTTGGTAAGTAAACAATGCAATGATTTTAACTGTTTATTTGAGGAAAAGGTTTTCTGCCACATTTTTTGGAAACATATTTTTCAGTTTAAATGTCTTGCTGAAAAAACGTATCCTTACTTTCAAAATTTGATATTTTGACTTTTTACTATTTTAATAAGCTATAGTGTTTAACTAATTTCAGTGTGTTTGGATGTACGCTTTGCTAGCTTTTTTGAAAACAGACACAGCTGTGTGAGGAGTAGCTGGAATCTGCCTGAATGACACCTGAACACTGTTCTGACAGATCACAACTCACCTCTGTCCTTTTGGAAAAATTGTATGACAAACTTAGTTTTGATTGCTAAACTATACGTGGCAGCCTTTTTTTTTTTTACCCCTAAATTGTTATCCTTACATGTTATTTGCTATGAATTATATTTTTAAATGTTTAGATTCACATTATTTTCAAGCTTACATCATAACATGGCAGGTTTTTTGATATACTCTCCTGCTGTAATATGTGCTCTACAAATGTTTTTGCGTTTGCGAAACGTCTTAAGACTTGGAAGCACAAATTTTCAAAGAAAAGAACATTTCATTGGCAGGTAAGGTTTACATGAGTGTTTGTATTGTCAGGTTGTAAAAAATTGATTTAGCTTTTAAGCCACTGATAAAGTGTAATGAAGTCTAGCTTCTCATGTTCTACCAAATCTGCAGCAGAAGTCAATGGCAAATATTAATTTACTGCAGAAATCATTAACATATAGTCCTTTTAAACATCAGGTCTGTGGATTTTAACATTACTTAAAATACAAACAAAAAAAATCTTCCTCCACTATTTAGCAATTTAACAAGATAAACTGGATCAGATTAAAACATACCATTTGTGCTGCCTGTCTGCACTCTCATATGGACGCCTTCACCTTTCTGGACTCCTTCCTGGCTGAAGAATTGTAAAATATTACTACTTCTATAGTTAAATAAATATCTACCATAGTAACAAAAAATCCGTACTATTAGCTGGCAATGACAAGTGGTGGAGAAACTTTTCAAACCATTCTTTCAGGAAAGAGAGTGGTAAAACTCTAGGAAAAATGTGCATACATTTTAAAAAGTAAAAAAATATTCTGCAGAAAAATGTCAATTTAATGTTAAACTGATTAATATTAATGTTGCATATTTTAAGGTCGAGTTCATTTTAAATACATTATATTATATTTTATGTCCTTTTAAAAAAGTAAAATGTGTTACAATTTATTCATGACAAAAAAAGAAAAATTAGCTAAATGAAAAGGCTTGAGTAGTGTGTGACATGGTTAATTGTTAATATCTATGAGGGGATTAAAAAAATCAATGGAAATCGATGGTAGAGCATTAGCAAATGCGGAAATCAGCAGCTGATTAAACATATTACATTCAAACATTCTCGTAGATGCTAATCTGAAAGTGAGCCAGCACCTGGGTCAACTTGCCTGTTTTATTAAAGCTGCGGTCCCCTCTCCATCATGGTCACAGCTTTCCTTGCTCGGGTACTGAGTTATTAACAACTTCTTCACACTCCATCTTCTCTACATCACATATGTTGACCAAGGTGATTAGCAAGAGGAAACTCTTAGGATGCTAAATCACCGAAGCTTTTTTACTTGCTAATGCTAGCCGTGTGATAACTGATCTCAGACCTGTAAAAGCAAAGCAATGCGCATGCGCAAACATCGGGGGCTGTGGGGACTGCCGCCTTCTCAGCTTAGCTAGCTCAAATCATGTTAACCCGAAACGTACTTGCCTGTAAAACAGACACAGCTACATTTTTGCCAACTGATGGCACTGATGTAACAAGATCGCAGTGACGTTAGGATGGATACAAACAGCTGTCTAAGTTGAAAGGAGAGAGGTGTCTTTACTTTTGGTGCATTTTCATTTAAAGTGTCTATTTTTAAATGGGACAACCTTTTCCTGTGAGGTTAAAGGTCATTTGTAGACACCTTTATGGTGAATTTAATAAGAGAATGCACATGTGTAGCAAGAAGAAAAAAAATAAAAGCAGCCCAACTTGTTTTCAGTTTAACTATAAAGCATTAGCAAATAGTTTATTATCATAAATTAGTTAATAGTTATTGGCTAATAGTGATACAAATTAAAGTTTATTACCTCTTTGTAAGATCCCCTATTAGGGAAATTATACACACATGTTATTATAATGAATAATTAAATACTAAGTTTAAAAACAGAACATTGTGTCTCAGTGAAACATATCTCTATATAATCTCATTTTTATGTCAAGTGTTGCAATACTTGTACTGTCATTATTACCACTAGAGGGCAGGCCAGCATTCATTTTCTCCTATGAAGGCAGTTGACTGTATTGAATTCTTTTATCTGCTTGATAACAAGTTTTCAGGTGTACTCTGCTCATAAGCTTTCATGTTTCACATTTAATATACAAAGAAACCAACAAAGCCCACCACAGATCCTCATTTGTTAAATTAAAATCATCTCGCTATGTTAGCCCAAAGAGATCAGGAGGCTTGTGTTGCTGTGTATGAAACACAGTGCACTTGCAGGTGTTGTTGAGCAATGACACATGGCTTTACAGTGTCAATGTAAACCTAAGAACTTGAATTTGTTCTTGAGAATTTGGGTTATCACATTAGATAATTCAACCGTAAACAGGGTGACCATGAATGAACACGGTAGGTGGAAGTGCTCTTGAGCACACGCACACACACACACACACAGATGAAAGTACTGTCAAAGCCCTGCATGAACAAATGAAATCTGAAGTGATTTTCTTCCTCGGAGCGATTCAAACACAGGATGGGGTCAGCAGGTCGGCTACAATTGCAGAACTACAATGTTGTCACACAGAACAGCAGAAAGGACTGTAGGCAGGAGTCTCTCAAGAGAGAGAGACACCAGGAAAATGATTTGACTGAAGAGCATTCTTCTGAAGTCTCATGTGTGCGATCATTTAGATGAAGTGGAGCTGACAGAGCAGTCCTCACTCATTTGCAATCCATTCAAGTTCTGACAGTGATTGCAGTCTCATTAGGAATGGGGAAGTGCTTTTGTTGGGGCATGCTGGCCAGAAGAGCACTGGGTTTTTTGTTTGTTTGTTTTAAATACATAAATAGGTTGCAAAGTATCTACATCACAGTCACTTGGTTGTGGAGATTTAACCATCACTTAGCTGGTAGTCTAAATTTCAATTCCACATTTTTATTCCAGGACTCGACTGGATTTGTCTAAGGGCGAGGATGTTTATGCTCCTTTTATTCCTTCTTTTTTTAAAGCTTCTTCTGTCCTCAAAGTCACAGCTGTGTTCTTGAGATGATTTGGGATACCCCCACTGCATGACAATGATATCCAATAGTAGATAGTAGAGTGATATAATCATTATTTGAAACTTTCTCCACATTTATTATGAAAATTCACCATTGTAATGATTTCGAAGGGTGGTTAAAGACTTTTGCAAAGTACTATATATGTGTCCACTCTGCATTTAATCATTAGTTATTATTAACCCCTGGCACTCCACAGCGTGTCTTCCTCCCCTCACAAACAACCGGCTGCACCAGACACCCACCCCTCCCTGTGCCAAGATTTCTTCCTGTTAAAAGGGAGTTTTCCCTTCCCTCTGTCGCCAAAATGCTTCCCCAAAGGGGATCACATGATTGTTGGGGATCTCTCTGTATTATTGTAGTGTCTTTATCTCACAATGTAAAGATGAAATGGTGTGTCTGTGTGTTTTTATTAAATGTAGCCATTACGTTACAAATGTTAAGCTTGTAATGATGCGTGATTCTGCACGTTGTGCTGAAGAGCTTTTATTTTGTATGTACAGGGAAAAAAAAACAAAAAGAAAGAAAAAAAAAAACCCAAAACAAAATCCAGTAGTAGTTCACAATTTATTTTACTGAATAAATTTGGACAAAACACCAGAATCTGTTACGATACAATCAGAACATCTGAGGCAGATATCCCACCATGCACCATCCCCCCTCCATGAAACAAAAAAAAGGACTAAACATTAGCACCAAATCAGCACCAGCTTAAATAAAGGTAGCTCAGTCTACAAAAACGATGAAAGCAATAGCTGTTTTACTGTTTAAATCCAAAAACAACTCAGAAAAGCAGCAAACTGAGAATTTTTCCTGTTTTTAAACTTTTCTTAAAAAAAAAAAAAAAGAAAAAGAAAGAAAGAAAAGAAAAAAAAACGAGCACCCTCCTAACCCCACCCCGACCTCCCACCCTTTGCTAGGCAGGCTATAGCATTCATGGAGCACATGCCAATGTCTAGTTAAGGAAAACACAAATTCAAGTAACATTGAGATACGACAAAACGTGTCCACTGGTACCCATTTTCGAGCATGACCGTTTCACAGAACCTAAGCAGGGAGTAGAAAAACAAAAATAAAAATAAAAAAAACAACCTAACATGAGGTTCTGGAGTGAGCATGTCATAGCAATACTATCACTGAATATCTCATATCAATTTTCTTAAAAAGAAGTGAGGGAGACTGGGTGGCATGAGGCTGTCGGGGGTACAGGAATACTGGCACAGAAGATAATGTGTATTCTAAAACTTCAGACAGACCTTTTTTTTTTGTTTGTTTTTTCTCTGTTGGCGCCTGTCCTGTGTCAAGATATTGCCTACATCATACATGAAAAAGGAATCTCTGGATAAAGAAAAACCCTGCAATGTAGTTTTAAATATATATATAAATTTATATTTATTTTATATATATATATAATATAGCTGTTACAATTTAAATAAATGTTATGTTCTTGTTCCTACAACTGAAGAATGGAATTAAATTATATATTTTTAAAAAAAAAGTAAGCTAATTTTAGAGGTGGAATCATCCTTTCACCTAATACATCAAGTGCATGATACCGTGTGGGGAGGCTGACTATGAAAATAGATTAAGATTGAGGTGTACAGAGTGACAATAAAGCAGCAGTAACAATAGACTGGAATAGCTTTTTAAAAAAAACAAAAATGCTTTACAAAAGTAATGTGGAAAAACAAAAAGTGTGGTAAGAGACAGGAGGAGGCGGAAACATAACAAAAGACAAGGCCATTGAGGAGTTTAGTGACTGTCAGAATCTTCAACAATATAAAACAGACAAACGAGACATGGACACACGACATAAAACTTAAAACCATGAGACAAGGGCGAGGTCAGCCATGTCGATTATGATGACAACCACAAGAAAACGCCTGCTCCGTTTATACGATGCTCCTGGGTCAGAACTATGACCGCCTAAAGCTATGACATCAAACTAAAGAAAACCAATAAAAAGAGCTGGGGTGTTAAGAGTCTGTCAGTTCCTTTAGGATTGTTCTCCTCGGATTCCTTGTTTGTATGTCCCTTCATGCTTTCCATAGTGTCAAAAAAAGAAAAAAAAAAGGTGAATGTGTCTACTTCTATGAGCACCACATTTAAAACAAAACAGATCCAGAAAAAAAAAAAGAACATTTGCTACATTGTTTGCAACTTGCATATCTGGTCGCAACATCCCCGATCGGGACGTGCATCGCCAGATGATGTATAGATGCCATTTGTCATGCCAGACTCAAGGTTTTCCATGAAATGGTGGCAAAGGAAACACAATGGAAACACCTTTTTTTTATGAGTGACAAATTCACCTATTTACTTCTACTCTACTGTTTATTTTTTTGGCTCTGCTGCGAGCTTGGCGAGCCAACCGTGGCGGAGTCGTCCGTTTGTGCTTGGTGTTTGCTCAGCTGAAGAACTGCTCCAGCTCCTCTTCCATGTTCACCTCAGGCACCATCTGCTCCTGCTCCCTTTCCCCTCTGCTGTGCACTGCAGTGCCCCCTAGCGCCCCAGAGGAGGCGAACCACGGGTGCTCCAGAATCTCCCGAGAGGTGAGGCGCTCCGCCGGCTCCCGACGGAGGATGGAGCGGATCAGGCACTTGGCCTTGGGCGTCAGCGTTTCTGGGATGTTGAAGTGGCCCCTGCGGATTTTGCTGAACAGCGAGCCGGGTTCGACATCGTGGAAAGGGTAGCGCCCCACGAGGATGGTATAAAGCATGACGCCCAGGCTCCAGACGTCAGCTGCCTTCCCCGAGTAGCTGCCGCTGGCATTGAGGATCTCGGGGCTGACGTAGGCGGGGCAGCCATGTTTATCTGACAGGGAATCATCGTGCCCATTCAGGATGTACGTGTCCTCGAGGCTCTCCAGCTTCACAAGGCTTCTGCAGACACACAAACAAAACTCATTGAGCTCCTTATAAATGTGGATGATATAGAAAGAATTTGAGCAATCAGAAGAAAACCATCAAGTGGGTAATTTATTCTGACAGGCAACCTAAAGTACTTTAAATCCATCACTTTTGGATGTCAGTGGAAGTGGATCGCATAATTCTCTCAGCTTATGTGTGACATTTCTTTTCAATATATAAAAAGTGGCATTATACAAACAGATTCCCCCCCCCCCCTCCTACTCATCAAAGCATCTATTTGCACTCTTTGCTCTAAACCCTGCAACAGTTGCTACAATGCCCCTGGGTATTCATAATAGCGACTAATTGTTGAGAAGCTTTATCACTGAAGAATCTGTGCAAGATCAAGCACCGAAAACAAAAAGCCCCCATATATGAATAGTCAGCCAGCAGAAGCAGGTAAAGACAATACGATATGATGCACCAAGCAACGAGACTGATCGAAGAGAAGGATGCATTTATTGCTACGTTTGACTTTCACACGAGGCCGTTTCCTTTCATTAATACGTGGCAGAACGATTTTAGGTTTTAAAACGAGGAACATTCTATTGTTTCCTTGAGCAAAATACCCATTGTTCCCCTGCAATATAAAGAGCTGTGTGAATTTTAAACACAGCACACCACTGCCTGGATAACAGCTCATTTGGAGGATGTGCAAACCTGCAATTAGAGCTAAGAGGACCTAGGAAGGCAAACTACTAAAACGGAGCCGAATTTAATATTAGCACACATTGTGCATTTCAGCTGAGTCAGAGGCGGCGCTCATGATAAAATATCTTTAGGCGTGGTAGAGAAGAAAGAAACAAACGAGCCTTGTTTAATAGCTACGTGATTCTACTCGAGGCCAGCGCTTGACTGATGCCGCCGTTTGGTCAAGGGTTAACGGCAGCATGACAAATTCGGGTCAAGAAGCCAACGAATGCTGCAGAAGCCTGCTCGGGTATCATTTTCTGTCTGCTCATCCACTCCTCTCTGCAGTCATCGCAGCGTTTTGTTCCACACTTGGCCTCGGAGCCAGAGGAGGTCTCTCTAAGGCAGCTTTGTCTCCTCTCTCATCTCTCTGCACTCGTTCACCGTTTCAGCAGGACTGAAAGGTTGTAAGAGGAGTCTTGACAGGCCACATAGTAAATGCGACCCGGTCCTACCCTTCACATCACTCTTAGAATTCACCCGGCATGAATCATTTAGTGGAAGGCGCCCTCAGCATCCGAGCCCGGTGACATTCAAGGTTACTGGACCTGTACTAAATATGTGAGGCGGCTCAACTTCTCTTTTCCACAGAGAGCGCCAGAGAATGACGTCACATTTTTCAGACTGGCTCTGAGTGCAGCATGTGGCTTCAAGGTGTTAAATAAGAAGCACTTAAGGAGATGCTTTAGTGCTGGGATTTGTATACAGTATCTAATGAAAAGATTAAACGTTGAGTCTGAACTGGCATCCACTCAAATTCTTTAAAAGAAAAAAGAAAGAACTTAAAAAGCTGCTCTAACAGATGTCTGGATTTTGTAGTTTTCAAATGCTGCCAGCAGGGGTCAGTAAACCCGCACTGTGAAAAGTGTTATTCTAAAGTTTCCATCACACATAAGCCCAGAGTAATGGATCATCTGCCATGCAAAAGCTTCCCCTGATAACTTATCTGTCCATGTTTCTCAGCTCAACAGCTTTCCTGAGTCTTAGCATGAGTAGCGATTACATTTGTGTAACTCATTTCCTTCCCCCAAGTGTGATTCCATTCACATTTACAGCATATGTGCACAAAAATAACCAGGCGACACACAAAAGGCTCATGTTTCCTTCATTCTGCACAACACCTTGTATAGTGTCAACTTACACTATCTGCGGTATTAGCTGTAATATCACACACATACCGATAGCATCTTATACACACAAAAAAAAAAAAAAAACAGAGGGAAACTGCAAAGTGCACAAAAGATGCTAAGGTTTCCATGGGACTCACCTGTCCTCATTCTTGAAGACAAACTTCCTCAGTTTGAGGTCACGGAGAACCAGTCCGTTGTCGTGGCAATGTGCCACAGCCGAGGCTATCTGATAGAAGAGCCTGGCAGCTTCGTCCTCTCGCAACTTCTTGCAGGTACGGACAAAAGAGTGCATGTCGCCATAGCTTCTCTCGAAGAACACATAGGCCCGCGTCTCCCCAAGCAAAATCTCCAGGATTTGGTTAATGTGCTGGTGCTGGCCAAGGGCGAAGTAGGCCGCCAGTGACTCCTGGTATCGGCCAACATCGAAAACCTGCAATCAGAAGAAGGAAGAATTTATGCTTTTATGCTTACTGTTAGCAATGTGGAGAATTAGATCGTTTGTATATTTTTTTTCAGCTATATCATTAGGTTCTTTTGGTGGTTGGAGATCTATAAACCAAACCTTTCCCACCACAGATTTACACAATTAAATCCAACTGAAGGAGGTGTAAATTGCCCTCTAATTGAACTAAATGTAACCAACACATGAGTAATCCAACACATTCCCGGGACACCAAACTTGGTCTTTTAGCAGAGCGAGTAAGGTTAAATAGAGGCAAACTGAAAGCATTGTATTAGTACATGGCATTGTGCTGCAGCCTGGGGGTTGCAGTGTCTCTTTTGTTTCCATAGTAACCCCCCAATTGACTTTCAGTACATGCAGTTCAGGTGAGAGGGCTCCTCTTGCAGTCGATACAAATACACCCCACAGGTCTGGGGATCTTAAGTTGCAGCCTAAGACTCCAGCTAGACAAGAAAAATCAATCCTGAAAAAGGGGGGGGAGGGAATTGATGACTGCTGTATCGAAACCAGCACAAAGCAGATGGGGGTCAAACAGCAGTTAGTACACAGGCTTGTGCCAAAGGCCATTAATTTGTTATTGCCCTGACAAAACATTATCTCAAGTCAAAAGGCACAGGTTATTTGATATGTTGTGGCGTACGAGTCCAAGGGTGCATGCAAGTATTGCCTCAATTCATCCACTTAAGCCTCAGGGACAACCCACCTGCCCTCATAATCAGTAATTTACAGAAGTCAGTAGAAGCTATAATTGTGCTGAGGAGAGGCCATGAGTTTGATCCAAGCTTAACAGGGCAGCGGGTTTTTTTTACATTTTTTTTTGAATGTGTGCATTTTATTCAGATCAACTTCCCTTTAAAAACTGAGCACCTTTTGCAAAAAAGAAAACAAAAAGAAAAAAGGTGCACTATGGATATGCTGGCACTACAGATCCAAGAGTGAGCACTGTGCCATGAAAGAAAGAAGCCACGGCTGTGCCAGAATAGCACAGAGGAGTGTGTACGTGGTTACTCACTCCTTTGTCAACGTTACATCATGCAATCCAAGCCACACAGCTCACTCCATTCACTTTTTCCATTAGGCTGCTGCTGCCAGCTCTCTATTTACAGTTCAAGCAATTATTAAAAAGTGGAGATGGTGGACAGGAAACCCATAAAAGCCAGCTCAGGATTTTTCTGCATAGCACATTCATCACATCTGAGGACATTAGGCATCGAAATAAAGTCGTTTTAATTCATCTAGACGTGCAAGCAACGCACCCCTAAAAAATATTTCGTGCAGTAAAAATATATATATATGTGAATATATTTTTTCTCCCCAGATTGACGTCACAAGGGGGGAGTAAAGTCATGCTGCGAAATAGGTAAGGTTTGAAACATATTGCCTACTAACCTTACATACGAGCTCGTCCCCGCTGTGCAGGTGGGCGGCTCTGAAAACGTGGTCTCCCTCCAGCGGCTCCAACAAAAGGTAGTCCCCGATGCGGGAGATACAGTGCGAGGAGTCCGGGGTCTCCGGCGGGCTGGGAGACCCGAGGTTGGGGCTGAAACTCTGATGAGACTCTGTAGTCCTTAAACAAGACAATTCTTCGAAATCGTGCGCTTTGTGCCGCGATCTCCCATAGCGTGAAATGTTAATTGGATTTGACCTCTGTATGTTCATGAGGAATAAGTGCGATATCTCCACAAAATCGGGGGCCTTCCTCCTCCTTGTTCTTCTTATCCTCTTCTGTCGGGATAACACTTCGTTGTGCAGAAAGACAATCTGTCCAAGTACTTCTGTTACGCTTGCATAAAGTAAAAAAAATAAATAATAATTTTTTTCTTTAAAAAAAATACAAAAAATAGGAGATTTAAATGCACCTTGCCTTTGCAAAATCTAACCGACTCTGTGCAGCCAAAACTGGCTCGCTGGATTTCGTGCAACTAAAATTGGTCTCTGATTTTTTACTGCTCACTTGCACCCCTTTGTTTTCCATTCATTGGATGAAACTGGGGTAAAGGAAAAATTAAGAATTACTGACTTAAGCTGGATGAAACCCCGTAGTGCAGACGTGCTGCAGCTTCACTGACGTTAAGTGCGAACAAAACTGCAACAAAGGTTGCCAAAAGTTAGCTTTTAAAATGAATGAAGAGTAAACCCGCAGCTCGTCTTGCTAGCTTATCTTGCCGGTTAACGGTATGGCACGTTTCATAAAACGGAAACAATTTATAAGACACAGCTGTCAGGCAAGGGAAAAAATGCAAAAATAGAAACAAATAAAGCAACTTTCCAGCCCAATTATAGCTGCTGACTTTTTAGACTATTAGTAGCTAGCAGGTGCAGAGCTAACTAGTTAGCTCCTTTGGCTAACTAGTACCAGGTCAGTGCACGGCCTTGTTCCCCGGGATCATATCCATGCACGCTGATTGTCATCTATCACATAAGGAGAAACCCCCATCCGGAAAAAAGACTGCTGTGGCTCTTTGTGTGCGGGAGTCGACGTCCTCTCTCTTTCTGCTGGTCCAGTCCTGCGGAATAAAAGTGTCGTCTTTCTTGAGTGTCTGCTGATATAAATCTGATGGAAGGAAGGAAGGGACGGCCGGCCGACTTTCCCAGGCCAATCCCTCGATTCAGCAGGACATCCTCTCCCGTGGTGCCGCTGTGCTTCTTACGTGGCTGGGAATCTAGTCCATTCAAGTGCGGAGGGAGGCCAGCCGAGCTGTACACACTGCGCCTGTACAGACAGAGAGAGCAAGCCTGCCTGCCTGACGGAGGAGGGGACGAGGACGGGAGGGTGGAGGGTAGGGGGGGCTTCTGTACACACGCACACCTGCGCACATGCACACACATACAAAGAGCCATGCCGACCCGCCCCCTGACGTCATTTAAACAGCGAGAGCTCATTGGCTTCCGAGCTGCCTTATAATATGCGGTGAAGTCATGTGAGAGCCATGTAGTGCGGCTACACCCCCAGGAATCTAAATGCGTCGCATGCTGGTAAATTGGATGGGGAGGGGGGGCCGGAGTGAGAGTATAGCTACTGTACGTGCTGTGTTACAAATGTGTTTCCTCCTGAAATGTCATTCAAGGGAAAGCGAGGGAGATCCCGCTCTCACAATAGCACACACACCGTTCAGCGCAGTTACCGCAGAAAATCGTGTTATTTGTAACACCTTTTTTGTGGCGGCATCTACACCTGTAAATGAAAACACACCGCGTTACTAAGCCCTTAGGATACAGTTGACTCTATATTTAAAATTACATGAAAGTGTAACTAAAGGAGGGCCTAAGCCTGGGGTGTCAAACATAAGGCCCGGGGGCCAGAATCAGCCAAGCAAAGACACCAATCCGGCCCACTGGATGGCTTTGTAAAATGTCAAGGAGAACAGAAACTTTTTACCCATAAAGACGCCCCCTGCTCCCCATGGGTATTCATGTTACACCAAAATAAGTTATATATTTCTGTAATTTTACACATTTCCCTATTCAAATTCAAGCCCAAAAAAGTCATGCTGACAGATTTATTTCTTTTGAAACAGGACTTCATTTTTCAGTATAAGATATTTCACTCCACTCCACAAAAGATAAAAGTTACAGCAATCTCATTACAAATGCAATGTAAAACAGCTAAGACAGAAATCAGTGGAAGTATAATACTCCAGATTTTTATTTATTTATTCGTGTGCCAAGTGTGCTTCATTAAAAAGCTAGCACAGGAGGTGCGTGCATCTTAGACATGTCTTGCAGCAGATTGTTCTGTTACACAGTTGTGCGTGGAAGAGCTTCATTATTCATTGTTCTTCCCTATACACTGTAACCAGGAGGTGTGACGGCAGGCTTGTGCAATTACATCTAGGACTCCAGGGCGGTGTGAGGAATGCTTGCAGCTGGACACAAGACACTGGCAGAAGTGTTTGATTTAATGTTTATTCTCCCGCGTGCGATGTGCGTGCGCATACACAGACGTGCTCTGTTCAAAATCCTCGTTTCTCACCGTGTGCTTGAATAAGCCCCCACAGCATGGAAATGCATTTTTTGCGCCCCTCATCGTTTCTGGTCCTCGAATGCGGCAGCACCCACGAGCTCGTCAAATGTATGTGCATGTATGAATGCATGTGGGTTATGTGAGATAATCTCTGTGAGCCACCCACTTTGCTCCTTCTCAAAATGCTGGAACATTCTTCCGTGCACAATAGCTGCACTTTGGTTTCACCCACTCAGTCAAGAACTAAACTTGTGAACTGTAAAAGTGTTACAGGTTACTACGAGCTAAATAAACACAGGGATACACACATGGGTTTCGCTGGAGTACATTTCTGTTTGATGCCTCTGCAGGCTCCGCAACTGCCCATCACTCTAACCCCAAAATGGGGATTCTGCTAAGCTGAAATTGCAGCTGTGCATGAATCAGAATAATAATCTCCAAAGATTCCTTTTGCCCTCATTCCTTGATACACTGTGTGACTCATTCGCAGTGGAGGGCAGCGCTCGAGAAAATCCACGCAGGCTCATCAGCTCTGCAGACGTGCCTACATGCCGAGGAGTAACACCAGGCTGCCCCAGCAGTGCCTTCCAGTGAGAGACTGTAAACCACTGAAACATGATGTGTCCTGGAAGACTACAGAGGTCAGTGCGGATGGCTGAGCATCCTTGAATCCCTGCAGCAGTTGCTCACCCGCCTCTTAATAGGCTGTTTGGAATGTAGAAATGGAATCTAAGGTCAATTTTCTAAGTATTCTCGAGGTTACAGGGAGTCAGTTGGGGCTCAGATCCACCAGGGGAATGCCATTTTCATGTTTTATCACACTGGTCGCAATCAAACGAGGAACCGTTAAAGGTATTTTTCTCAGATTTTCCAAATTCAGAGAGAAGCCAATTTCCTGCCGTCACATAGCAACCCCAGCTAACTCATGTTGATACCAGCGAGAGTCGATGCTGTCACATCCACACCCCGTGGGTAACTTCCACTGAGAAATTCAATCATAGCAGGAGAAATGGATGCAGAGGCGCAGGAGAAATGAGATCATTCAGTGAGAGGAGACAGCGTGAGGGAGAGCGAGGCAGAAGGACGGAGGCTGGTGAAGCAGGCGGCTCGGAGAACGTGATGAGAGGTGGAGAAAGGGAAAGACAAAAGAGAGCAAAGATGGGTGGAAGTGTTAGAAACTGTGGTGCCAAGAAAACCCACGACTCAATAAGCAGACGTTCAGCTGGAGAGGAGAAGAAAGGAGAACGTGGTGTTCTGTTGTTACAGTGAAAGTTAAAAAAAACAGTAAAAAATACTTTTACTTTTTAAACCAGAATTTCTGGTAATGCACACACGTGCACACAGGCTTTATTTACTAGTACAGTACGGAGTAGACAGGAAGTCAGAGAGAGCCACACAGGAAGTGGTATGGATTGGACTCAGACCCGATCCTCAGCAGTGACCTTTGGCATATCTTGGTGAGCTATACCGATACACAAAGTAGAAATATTTACTTGTGCTGGAGTTTTTCCACACTGTGATAATGTTGCTTTTACTCAAAGAAAAGATCGACTAATAGTTAAGTATTTTAATGATCATCAGAAAACTACTTTTTTATTTCTTTACATTTTTGGCCTTTTTTGTTAGAAAGGATAGGCTACAGCAGGGAATAACGAGGAGAACATGACCCAGGGCAGACTCAAACCTAGGAGGCTGCAGCAAGGATGCGGACAAGGGTTAAAGTAGAGCCCAGAAGATGGATTTCTAAAGATAGTTACCCTTTTTACTGTACATTTCAAATGTTTATTATCAGCTCAAATAACTTTGACTAACACCTCTTTAGTCAAGAAGGTGAAGGGGGTAACAAGGTGCAGGGAGAGACTTTACAGCACAGGCAGAACAAGATCATAATCTGTAAGTTCGTTTGTGGTCCATTTGTCTGGTGTATTAATTAATCACTTATTAAAATGTGTGGGAGGGGGGGGATCTTTCTGTGGGCTCAGCTTGTGTTTCCAAAACATCCACAGCATCCTATTGATTAATAAATAAAAGTGTGCAGCGACAAGTGGGACGAAAGGGCATCAAATCAAACCAAGAAAGGCAAAGATGCCTCACCAGACAAGTGCGACAAATGCTTTGAGTCACTATGAAAGAACCGAAACCAAGCTAATATCAGACATATTCTCAGGTTTGCTTTGGTCCGACTCAGTGAATGCGCTGGGATCGGGCAACACCTCATTTTCAAGTGGCTGAAAATGGAGAGCTGAGGACTTTGTAGTGGGAACAGAGAGGAGGAGGAAGTGGGGTAGAAAATCATTTCAGCTGTGATATGACTTTGCTCGCAGGCTTTCCTTTCTTTCCTAATAATCTTCTTGACGCAGCAGCTTGTCGCACAACGACTGCGATTTGAGAAAAATCCCAATCACAACCGCAAACCATTTGATATTGCTTTGTAATTAGATCTAGAAAACCTCATGTTATACAGATGGAGGCAATATTATAGTAAAAATCAGGATCCTTTTTGTTTTATAGCACAACCTTAAAAAATATTATACACTGGACCAACACAGTCATGATATCTCAATCATAACTTTTCTCTTTTTGCTTACTTAAGACAGTAAATATAATCATGCTTATTAATGAGCATGCTGTTTGAAGAAATGCCCGATCAGCAGGAGAGTAAAACAAAGGGGAGAATAAATATTGGAGATTCAAATGACAGCAATGAAGCTTGCAGGATATTGCTCCCTCTATATTCTATGAACTAAAATGAAAATGTCCTGTACCGATGAATTCAGGATGCTGCCCGAGGACTGTGTCTTGCCGAGGCGTTTTTCCGTTTACATCTCTGAGGCAGCAGGAAGTGTGAGCACTTTTGAGTGGCAGGTCACGCAGGCAAGACCTCGAGAGGAAGGATCTTGGCTCGAGGGGAGACAGGATTGGCGTCACAGGCTCTCCTTCATGGAGTCAGACAGCTGAGTGAGGACTTGTGGCAGCTCTGTCACTGGACAGGGTGACTCACTCGCTTATAAGTGGAGCGGTTAATAATAGTCATACATTAGTGCTCCTGCAGTGAAATAACACGGCTTTAACAGCTTAAGCCCTCTAAAACGGCTCACTGCAGAGAAAGACACGAGGACGCTCTTGTAACATCAAGCGCGTCTGTTTTAAAATAACTTGGCTCGTTACAGCTGCCATGTCAAAACTGCCCGGAAAAGGACAAGACAATCCCAGCAAGAAAGATTTGTGATTCCTCCCTGCTCTGTCAGATATTGTCGTCCCTTTGCAGAAAATATATATGTTTTTGGAACTGCTTAACGTATAAGATGTAGATTTATTCAAATTCTCAAACAAGACACTCTTTTAGAGATGAAAGGCGAGGGTGAAGAGGTCGGCATTATATCACATTTGCCGGTGATGAGTCAATCTCAACTTTCCAATACTTGCAGGAGGATCAGACTACAGGAGCCGAACACAGTCAGCAAAGTGCATTCAGTCATGTTGCCTTAGTAAAGACTTCTGGCGGAACATAAGCTGTTGATTTACCCTGTAAACATCTTGTATAATATTCTAAGATTTGCAGTTATAAAATGCATGTGGAAGGTGAAGACTCATTAAGTTAGCAAGGACATGTGATCTTTGTTTTGCTGGGGCTGTAGCTGTAGCTGAAGGCAAGTCATACTTATAAAAGTATAAATAGTCTGCTGAGTGCTTATCACTGCTGCCTCGGAGCAAACAGGTTGGTTTCCAAGCTGAGTTTGACACGCAAATCCCAAAAAAACAATCACTTATGTAAACTGCAGTGTTTACAAAGATGTAGACAAAAAATGTAACAGCCTAAAACACATATGACTGAGGTAATCTTGGCAGAAGTACCAAAGGGG